CTCGCTGAACTGCAACTCAATTTATAACATTTGTATCATGTTTTTTTTTCTGGATTTTTGGTTGATATTCTGTCTAGCATTTAAAATACACCTATGATAAAAAATTTTAGACCCTTCACTACTTTGTAAGTGGGCAAACTTACAAAATCTGCAGGGGATCAAATATTTTCCCCAATGTATGGACAGAGGACGCAGTGACTGCGTGGTTTTGCAATGGCTCCCTTACGCATGGTCTCTGCCCTAGCTATGTGTGAAGCTATTCCCCTGTAGGATGCAGAATATAGAGGAAGCATGTCCAGAAGGAAAATGCAACATCCCTGATGTAGACCATTCTGTAACAAACTCTCATGGCAGAATAAAGCATCTTAGTATCCTAAAAGGACTCTAGGCAGTAAAATCTGTAACTTGTTATATGTCACAACTGGTTATCCATCTACGATTAGGTGGTAGAGTTTTTAGTACCAAATTTGAAAAGTTGACACTGTGATGAATACAATTCAAATAGTGCATGGTCTTTAACAGTAACCGCAAGAAGCATGCAGCTGACCTTGTCTCACCTGTCTATAATGCTGTCCTGTATACATAAAGTCCAGACTTCAGCCGTCAAGGTAGCCACACCCCAAAAAGGGGTCTTCAGGGACTGGGTTTCATAGGAACGGACCATTGCCCTGGACCTATATACCATCCTACAGCTGACTATACATGTTGCACTAAGTGCCAAGGTAAGCAACCATGCAGGATCCAAAGCCTGAAACAACACTGCAGCTGTCCCCAAAACCTTTGCCAGTGTTCAAGCACCTGAAGGTACAAGCCTAGAACCCAGAGTATATGAATACTTTGTGTCCTGTACTGTACAGTTAACATACAGAATTTTTTTTCGTCATACCACTGTACTTATGTTTATGACAGCACAACAGCGCACAGCCAGTCATGTCAATAATAGGCTGTACGTTGCATCTGGACCAAAGTATTACACCTGCAGTTATGCTGACCTGGCTCAGCTGGCCTGTGTGCAAGACTCCTAAGGGCCTAAACCTATGCATTTTAGCATAGAATGGTTTCCAGAGAGAGCACCTTCCACTTGGATGACTGGTACAGCATATAAAACCTTTTGCTATGAACCGATTCTTAGTTCCAATGTCTGTACTCCAGTTTGGAGAGGTACCACCCTTTACAGAAGGGCATTGACACGGTTGTGGTTTCCAAAATATGTTTACATGAAGTGTATGCAAATTGAAAAAACAGGATTTTTGTTACCGTAAAATACCTTTCTCTGGGTTCATTGACAGGCACAGCTCTTCTGTTTCTTAACCATAGGGTTTATAGTGCCACCTACAGGGTGTAGGACCCTAGGCAGAAGAAGAAGAACATAGTACCACCTATGGACCCCCTTTCTGCTATAGGCAGTTAGTCACAAAGCAGTGTCAGAAGTGTAAACTCCCACCAAAAAATAAGGGTGGGTGCGGTGTGTGCCAATGAACTTTTGAAGGTGAGTAACAAAATGAAGATTTTAAGGTGAGTAACAAAAATCCCATTTTTCTCTTACGTTCACTGATAGATACAGCTCTTCTGATTCTTGACCATAGGGATGTCCCAAAGCAGTGTCTCAAGAAGGTTTGGGCAAACAAAAAATTTTAAAACAGTGGCCTGCAAAACAATTTGAAAGAAAAAACAAAAACCAAAAAATACATAATTTTTATTATATACACAGGGCTCTACTTTATGTACAGGCAAAGGTTAAGAACGGTACACACAGAGCTGCATCAGGAATTGAAAATCTACAGAATAGGACATCGCAAATCATGGGGCTCATTTTTTTTTTTTTTTTTTTTAACCACAAGCCAGTCACCATTAGTGTTTATTGGATGAATGACAGCTCTGACTGCTATGGGCCACAAGCTTACATACATTTTTATAAATATTTCCCCATTGTGTTAAACCAGTTGGAATGTTGAGGCTTCATCTTCTGTTTTAAATTTGGCAATTAAGAACAATTAACCTATAGGTGCAGCACAGTTTCTAAACTAGTCCATAGATATGCAACCACACTACTAAAATCACTAGTGATTAAAGCCAAACTAAAATTTTCACTCCAAAAAAAAAAAAAAAAAAAACGTAGCTCAGGCTGCAATATTCACTCTTCATTTTGAAGCTGCCCCCCACAGTACCACATTTTGAACACAAGATGTCTTCAGTTGCCTGGGTTGAATAAGGTCCAGCAGGCCAAAGGACATAAAAAAAAAGCAAAAAAAACCTCCAAAAACTAAAAGCACAAAATTGTACTGGAAAGTGTCCATTTGGCAGGGGCTTAGAGAGGGACAGCACAGAGCCTGGAGTCAGCCTTTATTTATTATACATGAAAAACAAATGGCTCCCTATCATGAAAACTACACAATAGTGATTGATTTTGTACCTGTGTGTGATTTGCTGCAACTACATGCTACTTTGTTCCATCTATTTAGCATCTGACTGCTTTTTGCCAATCAATTACTAGTGATTGTAGAAAAATAACTGTGCTACTAAGATTTGCCCATGTTCATCCATCCTAACAGCCCGAGTATTGCTCTGCTACAAACATTGCTACAGCAGGTTTGCTAGCTGTTCTAGAATGTTCTTTAAAAGAAAAGAAGAATCTGTTAGTCTGCATATGTGCAGCCAATCACAGCCATAGTGAATCAATCCTAAATCTAGTAAAACGGTGAGACGTCACCTGCATTCCATTGCTCACACCACATGCAGTTTTTTTTTCTGTATCAAAAACACAGGAAAGTAGGTTATATAGGTTCTAATGGTTCTAGTTCACACCAGTGTAGTCCGTTCCAGTAGGTTTCCGTCCCAGAAAAACAGGTACAACAACATGCTGCATTTTTCTTGCACAGAACTGTACTGCAATGCTGTAAACACATCAAAAACACACCGGACCCCAGTACAGTGAAAGAAACAGGAAAAAGCTATCAGGAACGCAAAAAAAAAAAAAAAAAAAAAAGGATTAAAACCCACACACAGAAACACATTCGGAACGGATTTGGAGTATATTTTTGTGGTGTGAACAGGCTCTTAAAGTATTAGTAAACCACGTTTAAAAAACCCCCAAAAAACTAGGAGATATTTACTGTACCTACAGGCAAGCCTTGTCATAGGCTTCCTGTAGGTACAAAATAACAAGGAGTTTACTCCCACTTCAATAATGTCACATTAGTCAAATAAGCGAATGCTTCGGGGCCAGGAAGGGTCCCTTCCTCAAGGCAACATAGTGACAACTTGCAATGCACAGCTTTGTAGTTTTTTTTTTAAAGTGGAATTATCACTGGGGGTGGGTATATGGTTCTGCATGTTCACTTACATCTATATATTGATTTTCCTTGCATTGTGAACTGACACTCTGTCACCTTGATGAAGGGAACCAGTGCAGCCCGAAGTGTTGACTTATTTGACATTACAATGTAGTGCTGATGACATCTCATCGTTTTAATTGTGATCTGCTCTGTGCCATCCGCTATGGTCACCACAAGCATCCATCTATTACCAAGATCAAAAATCGAAAGTAGTGTGGTCCTCATTCTTTGATTCATGTCAATCCTAACCCTGGGATCAGGTGGGAGCATTCTATTTTATTTTAAAACAAAATTTTTGTGAATCTAGAAGAATTTACTTATTCACACTAAGATACAGTAAGGCTACATAAACTTAAGCAGTGAATGCCAATGGACAGAAAGCACTGCTGCACAAATCAATGGCTACAGCAGGAGTGCTCAATATGTGGCTCGCGGAGCCCTCTGATGTGGCCCACAACCTTGAACCAGGGAAGTGCATGCCCAGAATTGGCAACCCATTGATCATGATCTAGGAATGCTGACCTGCCATCCCAAACCAGAACGCAGTGAGCCAGCAGCGGAGGATACAGGCAGCCATGGAGGGAGCAAGAGCCACATACGCCAATGCTTCCTGGGCATAATAGCTTTTGCAATGCGCATATTAGCACCTATAAAAGGGTTAATAACTATTAGACTTCTTTCACATTGATCTGCGGGGTGCAGTGCAGGGCACATGTGGCTTTTTTACGGGTTAGCTGCCCTGAGCCATAGACTTCTATTATATCCTGCAGGTTAAATCCAGTTTTGGTGCGCTCAGAAAATGCACCACACCTGCAAGATATAATAGAAGTCTATAGCAAATAGCAGGAAAGCTACAGGTTCACTGCACCTGCAGCGAGTAAACCACAGTGAATCAGTGTGAAAGCAGCATTAAAGGGGGCTCAGGACATTAAGGGCTTGTTTACATTTGTGGGGGGCAGTAAAACCCTGTTGTTCATTGTGGCCTGCAACCTGTTACCAAATGACTTAAGTGGCCCCCACTCTTCAAAAGATTGAGCACCCCTGGACTGACAGGATGACAAGGGCAAATTAAGTGCTAGCATCTGGCATGTAGTATCTAGCCTAATCTGCACACATTCCATGTGCATACATAGGCAGATCAGTAGAACGAAATCAGCTATTCCACCAGAAAGTCATAAACTTTAGTCAGCATCTGTTGTGTTTTCAAAGCAGCACCAGGCACCCTAAATGAAAAAAGAGTTTAACACCTCATCCAGGATGGGGAGGTTTATTTACCAAAAATAACAAATTCCCTTCAGGCACTTTGATACATTAAATGTATTGGCTCTCAGTGGCTGGAAAGGCTGGCATACTCTAGAGACTTGTGCTGGGATCTTTAAATGGAACACATCTATGAAAGGCTCTGACAAAAAGCCATCACATGACTAACACTAGTTCCAAGGCAGCAGCTCTGGGCAGATTCGGCTTAATTACCCCAAAACAACTGCATAGCACACAAGTCAAGGAATGCCAGCTTCCACTGGAGGCTTCTCACACAGAAGGCTCCATGATCATGATAGAACTGACTTAATGAAAGCAAAAGTAAGAAATCTTATTTGACTGGAGCTTATCTACACTGCTTATCAGGGAGAAATTTCTATTAAATTGACTCTCCTTCATACAAACTCAGCGTCTACGTTTGGCGGGAGCTGGTGCATTGTCCTCCACCTCACTGCTCAACAAGTAGGAACTTGGATTGACCTCCTGGCGCAATATCCCGCTTAGAATAAACTCGGCTGTAGTGACTGGTATTCTAGATGGCACCGACTTGCACCTTGGGGCATCTTCTGGGCACGACACAATGACACACTTATCCTAGAAGGCAGAATTCATGAAGATGTACAGCATTACACAATTGAAAAGATAACACTAGGATGATGTGATATTCATCTAAACTCAGAAAAAATCTGTTACCTTAAATGTCCGGGGCATCTTTGGAAGGAAAGTTGCCCCGCTGCAGCAAATGATGTCCTTCATTAACTCAGGATCTGGCTTGACACTAGGGGTGACATGAATTTCATATCCCTAAAAGCACAGAATAAGCAGATAAGGAATATTAATTTTAGCAGAATGGATGAAACCAAGAAAATAAAACCACTGCTCATACATGTGAGTTTGCAGATTTTAAAGCAATTCTGTTGCTGAAAATTAAAATGCTCCATTAAAAGAAGTCACAATATACTTATCTGTCCCGGTGCCAATTTATAAAATCTTCACCTTGGATCTAAAAGCTCTGAAGGTCTCCTTTTAAGACCAGAAATTCTACACAAAATCCACCAAATCAGTTTTCACCTTCCAATCATTAGAAGACATACTGGCTTCTATGGACATCAAGAATGGTGTTTCTCTATCTCTCATCTTTCCAGCACATTAATGCTTCCTACATTTTGCTGTGGGGTCCCTACACTACCAGTTCGTGGCACTGCCTGTTGGCCTCGACTACAGCTCTAGAGTTCACAAATGTATTATTGCCAGTATTAGCCCTGCTGCACTCTTGTGGTATTTCTATTGTGGGACACTTAGACAACCCCCTAGTGCGTGAAGTCAGCACAGCCTCTGTTGGGAAATGTGGCTTTGACAGTCCAAGCATTACATCCGGTAATAACTGTCCAGGCATTGCAACTTGTGTGCATGCGCAGGAGGCTTCGCTTACTTGCAATGACAGCGCCAGGAACCTTGAGGCTAGTAAAGAACTAGCCCGGGTGAAGATGGTGCTGGACCTCAGGACAGGTAAGTGTCCTTATATTAAAAGTCAGCAGCTACAGTATTTGACATTTCTTTGGGGTTCCCGCTCAGGCTGTCAAGGTCCGATGAGTTGGATGCCGCTGACTAGTGGGGGTGTAGGTTGAGTAAACTCTGTATCCCTCCCTTTCTTTGTAGGTTGAGTAAAGGTCCGTCCAGACTCAAAGCATGCTGCAGAAATCGGAAGAGAGAGCCCAGCCACCACACACCTCACCCGGCCTGAGTGGTTAGCAGGTAAAAGCAGCCTCAGCTCAATTCATCCAGACCATGCCTCCAACCTGACTCACCCCACCCCCGGGGCTTAGCCATGATTAAGCCCCAGGGGCAGGATGAAATATGTTGGAGGCATGGTCTGGATGAATCGAGCTAAGGCTGCTTTTACCTGCTAACCACTCAGGCCGGGTGAGGTGTGCGGTGGCTGGGCTCTCTCTTCCTATTTCTGCAGTCCTATTTACCTAGTTTCACTGCAGACCTTTAAAATAAAGCAAACATTCTGTTGACAAAAGACAAGTTAATCTGGTCCCTGAACAGAATGAATTGCTTATCTCACAGGAGCATGTTATCCCTGCCATATTTGCCCAGGAATCCAGCTCTGGAATCAGGAAGATCTTTCCTTTCTGTCACTTAAAAGATCCCCATGTTCAATGCTATCCTGTCGGGCTGGGAGGAGTCTGGGGTATCCTGTCAATGCAATTGACTTGGTTGCTGTCAGAATCTTGCGAACAACTTGTAGGGGCTTTGGGCAAATGGACTGTCTCTGCAAAACTGGACCATCCTAATATTCCAGATTCTGCCAATGTCACGGTAGTAACATACATTATTTATCAGAGAGGAACCAAAACTCTTGCTGTGGCAAGAGAGGTAGATCAGATCCCGTCCTGAGTAGAACTTTATGTTCCAGCTTTCTGTCGTATACATGCCAGGTGTAGACAACCGATTTAGCAGACTTCCTCAACTGGTAGCAGCTGGATCCGGGGACTGATGTTTACACCTGGAGGTGTTCCAAGACCTGTGTCACATGTTAGGGACACTGGATGTGGACCTCCTGGGCTCAAAATTCAACAACAAACTGGACAGATTTGTCTTTAGGTACAGAGATCCTAGAGTGGAAGCAGTGGATGCTCTGTGAGATAAGAACACCTTGATCTAAAAATTTCCTCCTCTGAAACTTCTTCCTAGTCTGCTTTTCAGGATGGGGATAAAGGCCATTTGATACAACTCATTGCTCTGGACTGGTCAAGGCAGACCATGAGAAGATTCCAATCCTGTTTTCATGGTTGCTGGTTTTATTGGCATGGCTGTTGAACCCTACGTTCTTATCAACAGACATGACACAATTAGGGTGAAAGCCCCAAGACTCACAGCAAGCTAACAGATTTTCCATGGAACAAATCCAATCCATCCCACAGCATGGACCAGCATGGGGGTCTCCCAAGTAGCTCCCTGTATGTTCATCTGTGACTCCATGGATTCTGAATCTGGTTTCTATCTGTTCTCAAGAAACCACCATTTAAACATATTAGAGACATTCCCTTTCTACACCAACAAGATGGCATAACTTGTATCCATCACTACTGAGGGCAGTATCTGCCAACTCAATGTAATATCCTCTTCTTGAAGTCCATTGAGGGCCACAAGTATTTTCATTTTTATTGCATACAAGACCATGAAGTGCAACATGTCACTGAAGGTTCATTTACATGAAAATCTAGGTGCAGTCAGTGACGGACATGACGAAAGGTTTTACTAAGACATTGCCACAACAGAAAAAAAAGGTACCATGGCAACTGGAATCCATCAATGCTGGCTAACTATTGTTGGACACCGCAGTGACATGCACTGGACGCTAAGCACAAACAAAAATCATCCGCAAATTTGTTAGCTCCATGGGAGATTATTAGTGATAATGTTTTGCGTGATAATTCCACACTAACTCTGCTGATGAATGCTACACTACTGTTGATTATTTCTTGGTCTCCTTGTTATGGGATCCAAGATAATTTGGATATCCCTTTTATCTGTTTTGTATGTTCTCTCTTTTGCAAAAAAAAACTCTTACATAAAGAATTTGCAAAAAAAAAAAAAATCACATGCAAAACTCTTTTAGCCCCACCTAACTCATGCAGCATGTCAAAAACATTATGTGATTAAATTTATTATAGTCATTAAACGACTTCATTTTTCGCAATAATCTTACCCAATACAGTCATTCTGAAAATATATTTTTGTTCAGTTTGAAATGGTATATCATAATCACCAAATGTTTTTGATTAAGTAAAACTTCTGAAAAAATGTTGTCCAGTGGCTGTCAATGGACTCCAAGAAAAGGATTATACAGCGAGTACGAAAAAATCTGTGGTTACAGCCATATTGACATTGACATGAAGAGAATTAAGAAAATGGGCTCAGTTGCAAACAAAAGCCCATGTACACAAGCCCTAAATTTACATGGATTTCAGATTAAAAGAAAAGTTTGGCATTACATTTTTAACATTTTTAGTTACCTAGGTCTCCCACCGACTCTAAGGCTCAGACATCACTGATCGCTCAGTTCCCCCTGTTGCTCTGAGCAGAGAGCGGTGACTGTCAGTGACTGTCTGCTATGACCCCCCACAGCACTGGGCTGTGGAGGGGGAGGGAGAGGCTGGCTCAAGCTCTCAGATCGCTGACAGGCTGAGCCAAATGCCAGTCCAGACATCTGGATAGACCCCAACTTTGAAAACGGGTCACAGGAGGAAAAATAACAGATAAGTGCACCCAAAACATTCAACTATAACTGAAGAAAATCAACACCCTGCCAACCACAGGATGGAGCTTTTCACTGCTAACCAGCTTTGCAGTGACAAGGCAGCTCCTAAGGGATCTAAAATAATGTAAAAAATACCTGTACCTCAAACAGTGGACTCTTCTTGGCTTTCTGCAGTGACTGCGACAGTACAAAGTTGAAGTTCTTCTCTTGTTCCTTATCCTTTATCAGAAATTTTGTATGAGACAAGAAACATCCACTCTTCTTACACTGTCAAAGAAGCCAGAGGAAGGTAAAATGAATGCAGAAAATAAGGCTATCAAGTACAGAACAAGATAAAAAGATACATCTGCTGAAAGAAATGTATGGCTTCCATTGCGGACCTCCTAAAAATACTAGTTGCTCAACTGTCCCATACTTGACTTTAAAACAGAAGGCAGTCACAATAAAGATAGAACTTAAAAGAATACTTGTTCCAAATATGTTCTATGAGAGCCAGACATCCACCATTTTCAAAAGAGTCAGAAATGACAGACCTCATATTCTCTTGCACAAGTTTAAAGTCCAAAGCTTTCTCTCCCAACCAAATAAGACATTTACACTTTCATTACATACATTCTATTAGGCAAATGGTCAATTTTTTATTATTCTGTTCCCATTGCGGAGATTTCATGCCCACTCATTGTCTTGGTGCCACTAAGGCACATATTTTTACCCTTCCCTACCCTAACAACTTCTTTAGTTTTATCTAAGTCTCTGTCTAAATGTAAGTGTTATATATACTGGTAGCCAAAAGTAGACATGCCGTTGATGGAAAAGAAAAAAATACATACCTTGTCTATCCAGTCCAGTGTAACAATGGGGATGCCCCTCGCAAGCGCACACAGGAATTTCACTGTTCTTCGAACACGGTCTGTTACCAGGTGAGTGCAATCAAACACGGAGTCTGCAATGTCTCCACCCAACGAGCGGATTATTTCTTCACCCGTGGCATCCACCACTCCTGTGAACAAGACCTAAGGAAGAGAAAAAACACACTTCTGGTGTTTAATGACCTACACTAAAGTATACACTGATATCAGTTCTTACTGAACTTTATCATCCAAGTTTAGCAATGTCAAAGACATCTCTCAATATTCCAAGCAATTTAAAAGAATACAGACTGCAATATTTAAAACCCAACTTCATGTTTGCTATCACTATAAACTGTAGCATGTACTTACCAGTAAATCTATTTCTTGGAGTACAGTACAGGTTGTAGGATCTTAGTCATATCATACCATGGGTTATACGCAGATAACGTCAGGTAATTGGACAATGGCAAAAAAAGAAAGCTGCTGGGCCATCTTCCTCCCATTGTCAGCAACCCCGGGTTGAAAAAATTAAACATAAACAGAAGACCAGGTGACAGCCTTACAAACCCACAACATGAATTCTCATGGAGAAAGCTCGGACCTGGGCAAGCACCTCAATGAAGACTCGGGTGTGAAGAGGCCAAACTGACTGCCCACAGTAAAACACAGATTGCACTAGTGGAGAGGAAAAATGGGAATGTCTCCAAAGACCAGTAAATCTCCAGGAAGGAGGGAGGCAGTGACCAACCTGGCCTATTCCATACAAAACTTTTGAATCCACAGTGACAAGTTGAGAGTTTTCAAATGAACTGAATGTGAGGAGTGGCGTGAACATGGCGCTGGGAGACTGCTAAGTGCAGGAGCTCCCGACACCCACCATGAGGAGACTGCCTGGGGCCTGACCTAACTACACCTCACCCTGTAATCATCCTGCTGGTGGCCTCGGCGCTGTGCGTTGTCCCCACGGCGTCAGCCACGTGGCAGGAGGTGGCAGCGGGGATCTTTGGCGGAGGGACTAGGTGGCAGCGGTCTGATGCTGGGATCCCGAAATTCCCAGAGGGACTGGCGCCGGCCATCGAGAGTGCTCCCTGGAGCGCAGGAGGCGCTGAGAGAGGGAGACAGAGGAGGCTCCTGAACAAGGAAAATCCCCAGGAGGTACCATCTGTGGGGGGATGTATTAAGCTAGCTGGACATGCCAACGGCCAGAGAAGAGGGACACACTGCAAGAGACCCGGAGGCCAGGAGAAACCCCAAGACTCCAGGACACAGGACATCTTGGGCTCCCACCCAGACCCCCACTTAGGCGATTCTGCAAACTGGAGCATGAGATCCCGACGGGGATAGAAGAACACAGAGACAGATGAATCCAGAACCCCAGGCTCGGAGGGTGATGGTGAGTTGCTGTGGGGAATGGCAGGAGATTTAAGTCGCTACTTTCTTCTGTTGTTAGTAACTGTATACCTGAACTGTGAAGCTGGGGCGGTTAGAAGACCAAGGAGCTGGAGTATCTCAGGGGCCAAGCAGTGCTGTTAATAACATTCATGCTATAAACGCTACTTAGGACTGTAAAGTCATTGTAGAAGAACAAGGAGGACAGGTCTTCTGTAGGTGTGAGAATATTGTATTTTGAACATTGAGTGGAAAATCTGCAGCTAAGTATAGCTAATATGAAGAACAGATCCACTAAAGGGGGGTTGGGGGTGTGGGAGGAAGGTCCATGAGGTGGGTAGTCTATACCGTTTTCTCTTTGAACATGAAGAGAATAGAAATACTAGCTAGCTATAAACCCTGGTTAATTTTACAACATATAATGTAAAAGGTTTAAACTCTCCTGCTAAAAGACCTAAGCTACTTAGAGAACTTCACCAACATTCCGCAGATGTTGTGTTCTTACAAGAGACACATTTATCACATGATTCTAACAAACGGAGAATATGTCATCGAATGAGTAAAAAAAAAAATTAAGACTGTTGAAAAAGAGATTACATCAAAGTCAGTTAAGAGAATATACCTTCTTCTTTCTGGTGCATAGATCGTACTCACGGTTGGATTATATAATGTTCGAGCATAGACAACTGGACTCATTGGTTATATCTAATATTGAAATTATGTCTATCTCGGATCATGCGCCTGTCACAGCAGGATTAAAGGTAGGAAGAGAATGGAACAAAAGGGCAATATGGAGACTAAATGAGACGCTTATACAGGACCCTCAAATAGAGATCAGACTAAGGGAGGAAATAGAGCAATTCTTTCTGCTAAACGAAACTGAGGAAGTCTCTGTGGCCACCATTTCGGAGGCACATAAGGTGTATGTGAGGGGAATCCTGATAGCCGCAGAAGACAAAAAAAAAGAAAGATCATGAGAGAAAAAGAAAGGAGGTGATGGAGGAACTGTATAGATTAGAACAGGGACATAAAAAGAGACAGGACACAGAGGTTTATTCGAAGATCATACTTAAAAGAGAAGAGTTAAAAGACCTATTGGAATAGGAATCAAGAAGAATTTTCAATAGCGTTTCAAAGGAAAGATATCGGTGGGGGAATAAGCCAGTAAAATATCTGATGAAAAGACTTAAGGAAAAATTAAAGGACGAAAAAGGAGAACTGGTCTACTCCACCAGTGATACAGTTGCAAGAAAAAGTATGTGAACCCCTTGGGATTGGGCATAAAATGTGCTCTGAACGTCATCTAAGTCACAACAATAGAAGAACACAGTCTGCTGAACATAATACTACACAAACATTAGATGTTGCCATGGTTTAATTGCACATAACATGTAAACATTCACAGTGCAGGGAGGAAAAAGCATGTGAGGCCCTAGCTTAATGACTTCTCCCAGAGCTAATTGGAGCCAGGAGTGAGCCAACCTTGACTCCAATCAGTGTGATGATATTGGATGTGTTGCTGATAGCTGTCCTGCCCTTAAAAAAACACACACCTGTTTTGGGTTTACTGGTTTCAAGAAGCACTGTCTGATGTAAACCATGCCTCGCAGAAAAGAGTTCTCAGAAGACCTACAATCAAGAATTGTTGACTTGCATGAAGCTGGAAAGGGTTACAAAAGTATCTCCAAAAGCCTTGATGTTCATGTGTCCACGGTAAGACAGACTGTCTTCAAATGGAGAAAGTTTAGCACTGTTGCTACTCTCCCTAGGCGTGGTCGTCCTGTAAAAATGACTGCAGGAGCACAGCGCAGAATGCTGTAATGAGGTAAAGAAGAATCCCAGAGTGTCAGCTAAAGACCTACAGAAATCTCTGGCACATGCTAACATTTTTGTTGACACATCTACAATAAGGAAAACATTAAACAAGAATGGAGTACATGGGCAGACACCACGGAGGAAGCCATTGCTGTCCAAAAAGAATATTGCAGCACGTTTGAAGTTTGCAAAAGAGCACCTGGATGTTCCACAGCACTACTAGCAAAATATACTGTGGACAGATGAAACCAAGATTGAGTTGTTTGGGAAGAACACACAACACTATGTGTGGAGAAAAAAAGGCACAGCACACCAACATCAAAACCTCATCCCCACTGTAAAACATGGCGGAGGGAGCATCATGGTTTGGGGCTGCTTTGCTGCCTCAGGGCCTGGACGGATTGTTGTCATTGATGGGAAAATGAATTCCAGAGTTTATCAAGACATTTTGCAGAAAAACGTACGACCATCTGCCAGCCAACTGAAGCTTTGCAAAGGATGGGTGATGCAACAGGACAATGACCCAAAGCATACAAGTAATTCAACAAAACAATGGCTGCAACAGCACAGAATACGCCTTCTGGAGTGGCCCAGTCAGAGTCCTGACCTCAACCCGATTGAAATGCTGTGGCATGACCTTAAGAGAGCGATTCACACCAGACATCCCAAGAATATTGCTACACTGAAACAGTTTTGTGAAGAGGAGTGGTCCAAAATTACTCCAGATCGTTGTGCAGGTCTGATCTGCAACTACAGGAAACGTTTGGTTGAGGTTATTGCTGCCAAAGGAGGGTCAACCAGTTATTAAGTCCAAAGGTTCACATACTTTTTCCTCCCTGCACTGTGAATGTTTACATGTTATGTGCAATTAAACCATGGCAACATCTAATGTTTGTGTAGTATTATGTTCAGCAGACTGTGTTCTTCTATTGTTGTGACTTAGATGATATTCAGAGCACATTTTATGCCCAATTCATGCAAAACTCCACGTAATCCCAAGGGGCTCACATACTTTTCTTGCAACTGTATTGCTGAAACGTTCCAAAAACTCTATAGTAAGCTGTATGATGTCAAATCTAAGAGAGAGAACCCAAAAGTCATAGAGGAAGAAAAGAGGGGAAAACGGCTGGAATACCTAAAGGCAGCAGACCTAGCAAAAGAAACATTTGTGTCTTTAGAACAAGCTATTTCTCAGGAAGAAATGAATAAGGCCCCGAAGAATACAGCAAGAGGAAAGAGAACAGAACCCGACGGGTATACAGTGGCGTGTCACAGTGTGGAACAGAAGTATTTGAACACCCTGCGATTTTGCAAGTTCTCCCACTTAGAAATCATGGAAGGGTCTGAAATTCACATTGTAGGTGCATTCCCACTCTGAGAGACATTATTAAAAAAAAATTCAGGAAATCACATTGTATGATTTTTAAAGAATTTACTTGTCTTGCACTGCTGAACATAAGTATTTGAACACCTAAGAAACAGTAAGAATTCTGGCTCTCAAAGACCTGTTACTGCGCCTTTAAAAAGTCCACCTCTACTCCACTCATTAATCTAACTTAATAGCACCTGTCTGAGCACTTTAAAGACATCTGTCCACCCCACAGTCAGTCAAACGCCAACTACTACCATGGGCAAGACCAAAGAGCTGTCAAAAGACACCAGAGACAGAATTGTGGACCTCCACAAGGCTGGAAAGGGCTACGGGGCAATTGCCAAGCAGCTTGGTGAAAATAGATCAACTGTTGGAGCAATTGTTAGAAAATGGAAGAGGCTAAAGACGACTGTAAGTCTCCCTCGGACTGGGGCTCCATGCAAGATCTCACCTCGTGGGGTATCACTGATGATAAGAAAGGTGAGGAATCAGCCCAGAACTACAAGGGAGGAGCTGGTCAATGACATGAAGAGAGCTGGGACCACAGTTTCAAAGGTCACTGTTGGTAGAACACTACGCCGTCATG